TTTAATTGGATTGTTTGTCTTTTTGTTATTGAGGTGCTGGAGTTTTCTATAAATTCTAGAGATAAGTCCCTTGTCAGATATGTTATTACCAAGTATTTTTTCCCAATCTGTAGGTTCTCTTTTGACTCTTTTGGAGAAGTCTTTGGAAGCACATAAAAATTTAATTTTTAGAAGGTCGACATGGGACTTTCTTAAATGCAATAAGTTGCCTCCTGTCTCAAGTTCTTTGCAAATGCTGTTCCCTGTGCAGAATGCTATTCTCACTCCCTTTTCTCTAAGTAACACCTACTCATCCTTCAGATTTCAGCTTAAACATGATCTCCTCAGGAAGTCCTTCTTTGAAACATTCCCCTCCTCCAACCTCCTCTGCTACTAGATCAGGGGCCCTGCCATCAGCCCTCCTGCCTGTGTGCTTTTTGTTTAGAGCTGTGACAGTTTGTCATTCCACTCCGTGGCTTTATGTTGATGAATGCCTACCTCCCCCACTAGGCCAAGAGCTCCTCCAAGTCAGGGGCTGTGTTCATCTTGCTCACCACTGCAGCCCCGGGGCTTGGCACAGTGGCTGCGCGAGGAAGGCATTCAAGTATGTGCTGAACAAGAGGTCCAGTAAGTCGGCATTTGGATAGTCAAGCCTGAAAGAAAGCAGAGAGCACAGAGGTCTGGGCTAGAAGTGAAAGACTGAACCAGCTGGGTGGAGGTAGTTTCAGATACAGTTTCCAGTGAGAAGACACAGAATGGGGAGAGAAGACAGCTGATGACAAACCCTGAAACAGCGCTACATTGAAGAGGCAAGCTGAAAAAACAAAGGCCCCAAAAGGGTAAGAACCACCAGAGAGGTAGGAGCTGGGGAAAGCCAACATAGGGGGAAAGAGAGCTTAGTGGTCAATTTTATTTTTTTTTTTAAGGATTTTAATTTTTTTTTTAAGGGAGAAACTTCAGCTGGGTGATATACTGAGAGCAGGTCAAATTGGACCAAGGAGGAGCCCGGGGCAGAGTGGCCAGTGGGGGGTAACTACAGCACACCTGCCTGACCCTGACCCACCAGGGAGAAGCCAGAACCTGGCACAAGCGTCCACTGCCCAAACTCTAACTTCTCCTCTCCCCCACGGAGCCCACGAGGAAGCCCTGGGCCCTGTCCTCCAAGGACAGGCTGACTCAGCCTCCTGCAGCTAGTTCAAAGACCAAAGGCATTTCGCTCAGACTGCTCACCAGAAAGTTGGAGGTTCAAACCCACCAGCCACTCCTCGGAAGGAAGGTTGGGCAATCCTACTTCCGTAGTGATACTGCCTCGAAAACCCAGGGAGGGGTTGCTATGAGTCGGCCGACTCGACGGCACATAACAACAACAACAACAAGTGGAGCCTACGAGGGGGAGGAGGGGAGAGAACTCACCTTCCCTGACTCTGTTGTTGCTTTGTGATTCTGACTCAGTGACCCTACAGGACAGATCAGAACTGCCCCACAGGGCTTCCTAGGTTGTCATCTTACTGGAGCAGGTGGCCAGGTCTTTTCTCCCACAGAGCAGCAGCTGGTGGGTTTGAACAGCTGACCTTATGGTTAGTAGCCAAATGCTTAACCACTGCACTACTAGGGCTCTTTCCCTGACTCTACATGAAGCTAAAAGCAGTCTGCCTGGCCCACAGATCATACCACCTTGCCTTACAGAAGTCCAGGCTCATAGGTGCTGGTGAAAATGTTACACCCCCTTTTCCTCAACACATACACACACACCCCCACCTTCTCTGCCATCTCTCTCCATCCTCCAGCTCAACACTGGAAAGTCTTCTGCCTTTCACTTCTACTGGGAAGGGTAATCATTGGCTAAATTACGCAAGAACTTTTGCCCTTGTTACAGAGGTCAGGATGGGAGCAACCCAGCTCCTGTCTTCTGCGAAACATAAGGCAAAAAGAAAAACAAAATCTAAACTCTCCGTCTGGGACAGGAGCTCTGGTAGCGTAGTGCCTAAGGCACTTGACTACTAACCAGAAGGCTGGCAGTTCAAACCCACCAGCCACTCCTTGGAAGGAAGATGGGGCAATCTAC